TCAGCCTCAGGCTGCCTCAGCCTCGGCCTGCATCAGCCTCAGCCTCAGCCTCAGCCTGCCTCAGCCTCAGCCTCAGCCTCAGCCTGCCTCCTCAGCCTCAGCCTGCCTCAGCCTCAGCCTCAGCCTGCTTCAGCCTCAGCCTCAGTCTGCCTTCAGCCTCGGCCTCAGCCTCCTGCCTCAGCCTCAGCCTGCATCAGCCTCAGCCTCAGCCTCAGCCTGCCTCAGCATCAGCCTGCCTCAGCCTCAGCCTCAGCCTGCCTCAGCCTCAGCCTCAGCCTGCTTCAGCCTCAGCCTCAGTCTGCCTTCAGCCTCGGCCTCAGCCTCAGCCTGCCTCAGCCTCAGCCTGCCTCAGCCTCAGCCTCAGCCTCAGCCTGCCTCAGCATCAGCCTGCCTCAGCCTCAGCCTCAGCCTGCCTCTTCAGCCTCAGCCTCAATCTGCCTTCAGCCTCGGCTTCAGTCTCAGCCTGCCTCAGCCTCAGCCTGCATCAGCCTCAGCCTCAGCCTCAGCCTGCCTCAGCCTCAGCCTGCATCAGCCTCAGCCTGCTTCAGCCTCAGCCTCAGCCTGCATCAGCCTCAGCCTGAGTCTGCCTTCAGCTTCGGCCTCAGCCTCAGCCTGCCTCAGCCTGCCTCAGCCTCAGCATCAGCCTGCCTCAGCATTCAAAATGTGGCCAGGGAATGGAATTCTGGGAACTCGAAGAACACGAAGTGGCCTACAGTTTGCTCCGGGCATTCAAAATCATACCCAGGAATGGAGTTCTGGGAAGTCCAAGAGCACGAAGTGGCCTACAGTTGGCTCCGGGCATCCAAAATGTGGCCCGGGAATGGAGTTCTGGGAACTCGAAGACCACGAAGTGGCCTACAGTTGGCTCCGGGCATCCAAAATGTGGCCCGGGAATGGAGTTCTGGGAACTCGAAGACCACGAAGTGGCCTACAGTTGGCTCCGGGCATCAAAATGTGGCCCGGGAATGGAGTTCTGGGAACTCGAAGACCACGAAGTGGCCTACAGTTGGCTCCGGGCATTCAGAATGTGGCCCGGGAATGGAGTTCTGGGAGGTCGAAGAGCACGAAGTGTGTGACTGTTGCATCCGGTTATTCAGAATGTGGCCTGGGAATGGGGTTCTGAGAGGTCGACGAGCACGAAGTGTGCGACAGCCGGTGAAAAACGAGCCCGGCACAGGCCCGGCCGGCAACTCCCAACGCCTGCCCGGACCCCCCTGTGGAGTGATCTGTGAGCTCTTTTGAGTCAACTAGAAACCTATCAGTCTACGCTGTTAGGTAAAAAAGGTACATGTTTAGCATGCACGGCTTTTCGGCTTTCATTGCGTTGAAGACGGTCCAAGAGGCCCCAAGACCGCCCCAAGACGGCCCAAGAGGCTCCCAAGAGGCCCCCAAAACGGCCCAAGAGGGCGCCAAGACGGCCCAAAGAGCGCCCAAGACGGCCCAAGAGGGCCCCAAGACGGCCCCAAGAGGGGGACCACGAACCGAAAAGTCTAGCCTTTCGCCCCAAGACGCTCCCAGGAGCCCCCAAGAACCCCCCAAGAAGCCCCAAGAGGCCCCCAAGAGGCCCCCAAAAGGGTTCGAAAAGGGCCCCATAGGACTCCCAAGAAGGCCCAGAGACACCAAATAAAGAGCGATCGGTAACGCACAAAGCTTTTCACACCAAGGCTCCCAAGAGCGAACGGTGACGGAAAAAAGCTGATAAGACCAAGGCTCCCAGCAGGGAGCGGTGACGTAACAATTTCCTGACACCAAGGCCCAGCCAAGGCTCAGGAACGGGCGGCAACGCAACAATCTCTGAACACCAAGGCTCCCAAGAGCGAGGGGTGACGTAACAAGCTCTCAACGCCAAGGCTCCCAGTACGAACGGTGGTATGAGTAATTTCGGTTTCTGTTTCTGAAGCGCTCTTTCCGTTTCCGTGCCGGACCAGGTAACGGAAAGAGCGAGGTACGAGTGATGACGTTCTGGTGTGGGCGAAGCCCTAAAGGGAGGGGTTCCAGGGGAAGGGGGTAGCGGGCCGATTTGCGTGTTAATGGCCGTTCTCGGGTTTTCCTTTAGTTTTTTGCATGTTTTTCGGGCCCCCCCCCGAGGCGGCCCAAGAGCGCTCCAAGAGAGCCCAAGACCGCCCAAGACGGCCCAAGAGGCCCCCAAGATGCCCCCAAGAGGCGCCCAAGGGGCGTCCCAAGAGGGCCCCAACAGGCCAAAATCATTGATTTCCAATGGGGAAGCGTATATTTTTAGCATATGCGCTTTGTCGGCTTTCACGGCGTTGACGACGGCCCAAGAGGCCCCCAAGACCGCCCCAAGACGGCCCAAGAGGCTCCCAAGAGGCCCCAAAACGGCCCGAGAGGGCCCCAAGACGGCCCAAGAGGCGCTCAAGACGGCCCAAGAGGGCCCCAAGAGGGGGACCACGAACCGAAAAGTTTAGCCTTTCGCCCCAAGACGCTCCCAGGAGGCCCCCAGAGCCTCCCAAGAAGCCCCAAGAGGCCCCCAAGAGGCGTCCCAAGAGGCCACCGGGAGGCGAACATCATTGATTTCCTATGGGGAAGTGTACATTTGTAGCATACAATGCTTTTCGGCTTTCACTGCGTTGAAGACGCTCCAAGAGGCCCCCAAGACCGCCCCAAGACGGCCCAAGAGGCTCCCAAGAGGCCCCCAAAACGGCCCAAGAGGGCCCCAAGACGGCCCAAGAGGCGCTCAAGACGGCCCAAGAGGGCCCCAAGAGGGGGACCACGAACCGAAAAGTCTAGCCTTTCGCCCCAAGACGCTCCCAGGAGGCCCCCAGAGCCCCCCAAGAAGCCCCAAGAGGCCCCCAAGAGGCGTCCCAAGAGGCCACCGGGAGGCGAACATCATTGATTTCCTATGGGGACATGTACATTTTTAGCATACAAGGCTTTTCGGCTTTCACTGCGTTGAAGACGCTCCAAGAGGCCCCCAAGACCGCCCCAAGACGGCCCAAGAGGCTCCCAAGAGGCCCCCAAAACGGCCCAAGAGGGCGCCAAGACGGCCCAAGAGGCGCCCAAGACGGCCCAAGAGGGCCCCAAGACGGCCCCAAGAGGGGGACCACGAACCGAAAAGTTTAGCCTTTCGCCCCAAGAAGCTCCCAGGAGGCTCCCTGGGCCGGCACAGAAACGGAAAGAGCGCTTCAGAAACAGAAACCGAAATTACTCATACCACCGTTCGTACTGGGAGCCTTGGCGTTGAGAGCTTGTTACGTCACCCCTCGCTCTTGGGAGCCTTGGTGTTCAAAGATTGTTGCGTTGCCGCCCGTTCCTGAGCCTTGGCTGGGCCTTGGTGTCAGGAACTTGTTACGTCCAGTTGTCCTCGTATTTGCTTGAGTGAAACGACTCCTGGGCGGCTCCCATGGCCCGCTTCCTCGTTTTTGCTACGTGAAGCGGATCCAGGGCTTCAAGACGGCCCAAGAGGGCCCCAGAAGGGTTTCAGATGGCACCCAGACGGCCCCAAGAGAGCCTCAGATGGCCTCCAGACGGTCCAAGAGAGCTTTAAGACGGCTCCAGAGGCCCTAAGAAGGGCCCTGAGAGGGCTTCAGGAGGCCAAACACATTGTTTGTCCTTGGGTTCTTTAAGGTCTTTCGGGTTCTCGCTGTTTCGGGCCCAGGCGGGCCCAAGGCGGCCCCAAGAGGCCCCAAAGATCGTTCCAAGACGGCCCCAGAGGCCCCCCAGAGGGGCCCAAAACTATGCAAGGGGGCCGCCAGGCAGCCTCCCCAAGCGGCCCCCGAGAGGGCCCCAAGAGAGCCCCAAGAGGGCTCCCAAGAGGCTTCCCAAGAAGGCCCGAAGAGGCGGTGCGGGGACTGGCTGCGTGGGTGTGGGGACAGGGCTGGCCCCTAAGACGGCCCAAGGGCTCCAAAACAGCCCAGAAAAAAAAAACCCGAAGAATCCCATGGAGCCGAAGAGAGGCCAAGGAGCACCGTGGCTCCCAACAACGGGCGGTGACGTAACAAGCTCTGAACACCAAGGTTCCCCAGAGCGCGGTGACGTAAAAAGCTTTTAACAGCAAGGCACCCAAGAGCGAGCGGCAACGTAAGAGTCTCTGAACACCAGGACTCTCAACAGAGAGCGGTAACGCAACAAGCTCTTCACACCAAGGCTCCCAAGAGCGAAGGGTGCCAAGAGCCATCTCGGGCAAGTTCCTGCAGCGTTCTTTCCGTTCCCGTGCCGGCCCAAGTGACGGAAAGAGCGGGGTACGAATGATGTACGTCACTTGGTGGGGCGGAGCCCTAAAGGGAGGGGTCCAGGGGAGGGGCGAGGCGTACCCGGATGAGCGGCTCCCATGGCATGTTTCTTCATATTTCTTGTATTGACGCGGCTGAAAGGGCCCCAAGAGGGCCCCAAAACGGCCCAAGAGGGCCCCAAGACGGCCCAAGAGAGCTTCAGATGGCCTCCAGACGGTCCAAGAGAGTCTCGAGACGGCTCCAGAGGCCCTCCAGAGGGCCCCCAAGAGGGCCTCAGCGGCGCCAGACGGCCCAAGCGGCCCCAAAGATCGTCCGAAGACGACCCCAGAGGCCCCCCAGAGGGGCCGAAAACAGTCCAAGAGGGCCCCCCGACGGGCCCAAGGGGGGCCCAAAACGGCCCAAGAGGGTCCCAAGACGGCCCAAGAGAGCTTCAGATGGCCTCCAGACGGTCCAAGAGAGTCTCGAGACGGCTCCAGAGGCCCTCCAGAGGGCCCCCAAGAGGGCCTCAGGAGGCAGAAAAACATCATATTCCATTGGTTTTTGTATGTTTTGCGGGTTCTCCCCTTTTCGGGTCCGGAAGGGCGCCAGACGGCCCAAGCGGCCCCAAAGATCGTCCGACGACGACCCCAGAGGCCCCCCAGAGGGGCAAACGGTCCACGAGGGCCCCCCGACGGGCCCAAGAGGGGCCCAAAACGGCCCAAGAGGGCCCCAAGACGGCCCAAGAGGGCACCAAGACCGCCCCAGGAGGCCTGAAGAGGGCCAAGCAGGCTCCCAAGAGGCCCCCACGAGGCCCCTCCACAGCAATTTTGGCTCAAGTCTTCCGCGGGGGGCAGGCGGCGAACTTGCTCTCGCTCCCCCCCCTGGGGTGGCAAAGCGGTTCCAGCTCTGCCTGAAGCACCGTGGCCGTGCTGGGAATGTCTGATTCGGCGGACCCCGCACAAGACTCATTCCGCCTGACAACAATTGACTTGGATCGACATCAGAGGGCGACCAGTACCAGATTACGGACCTGGTTCGAGTCGCCGGTCTCGGTCATACCCTTGCACGCAGAGCAAGTCTCAAGCTCAGACGAATCAGGGGACGATTCCTCGATTTATTCGCACGTGGGGACGGGCGTAGGCATACTTAACGGTTTCGACGTTTTCGGCGTATTCAAGGTCAACGTATTGGCGGAGTTGAACCTTTCTTCTCGCTTCAGCGTTTCTGGCCGATTATTAGTTTCAGCGTTGAGCAGCATGAGTTCAGCATCCTTCCTGATCCATGGACTGCTAGTTCCGCAGCGCGGGAACCTGATGAGAGGTTTTTTGTTCCGCGGAACGTTTTTTCATGAAATCAAGCCTGAATTGTTGGAGATATTTCAGAATTGGGCTGCGGCGTTCCTTTACTTAGCGCTTGGCGTGATTCTCCCCAACCTGGCGAGACGTAGCAACGTTCACTTGGAGCGGACGCTCAGCGTTGCGTACCGCTACAATCTGACTATGAGGTTCGGCAGTGCACACATGTTTTTCTCGTATGTTTTGTGGCCCGTTACTTTTCTATCGGGTATGTTTGCGCCAGTGCTAGTTTGGTTCCACCGGCTGTATGGGGGCGATTTTGCGGAGCAAATGCACATTGACATTTGGGGGTTGCTCAGCGTCTTCACTTGGTCCATCGGCATGCTCTTCATTGGACCTTCCATGGTGGAAGAAGTCGGCACTGTAGCCGTGCGTGAAATTGTCGCTGGGGTCGTTAAGGAGGTGGAAGACATGCGTACCCGGCCAATCTCTTGGCAAAGGCTGCTGGACTTAGTGAAGGCGACAGATTTTCTGTTGGCGGACACTTTCGATTGGAATTGTCTCGGACGATTGATCATATTTCGCGTCTCCATGCTCTTCTTGCTCGCAGTGGGATTCGGCTTTATTGGAATCGTCCACCGAGACGAAGCTTCGAGAAACTGCTCACAGGTTTTTGGTATCCTGTCAGCAATTTGCGGCTGTGCTATTCTATTCCGTTTGGGACGCATCTCCGAGAAGTGTAGTAACAACAGGCCTGGATCTAGTAATCTTACGGCAAATTTGGTTCTCAGAATGGTGGAACATGAATTGAAGCATGATTCGGAAGAGAGCGCTTTCCATCAATTGTCGTTTTATCTCAGAAAGCGGACGATTGGCATAGAGCTGGTGGGCACGCGAATAACATCTGAGTTTGTAGCAAACGTCGCATTGCGAACATGCTTCTACCTGCCAGCCGCAGTAGCTGTCATTCAAGGCATATGGTACGCTGGTGATACCACCATGACGGGCGACAGCAGGGACACCAGCGAACTTCGGTGCTTGATCTGACGCGCTCGCTGTCTGCTCGAGCTTCCTGGTCAACTGGCGCAGGAAAAGCATCTGGCTGCGTGTGGCGGGTGCCGCCACTGTGCCGGTGCAGCCCTTCCGCGTGGCGGCGCCTCGGGTGCCGCCCAGGAGGCCGCAGCGTGTGACGTTGTTGGTTCATCGAGTGGCCTCCGGCCCACCCCGCCACCGTGCCTGGGATCATTCCTTCTTCTTCTTCTCTCTCTCTCTCTCTGTCTCTCTCCCTCTTGGCTTCCCCTCCCTCCCTTCCCCTGCCGTCGGCCGCGCCCTTTCCCGGCTCGGCCCTTGGTGCCGTGCTGGTGCTCTCCTCTGCCAGTCGCCCGGTCGCCGATGTCTTACAGTCAACTCTTCCTCGAGCTCTGAGCTGCTCGAGGGCCAGGCGAGAGCACCGGGCCAGCGCACCAGACGAGCGCTTACAGTCAAGCACCACTTTCGCGTTCACGACGACGCTCTCGCTGTCGTTCGTGACGCTGTGAACTGCTGTGCTGCTCAAGTCCTTGGCCGCACTCTGGCAAGCAAAAGGAAAGAGGCCCCCAAGAGGCCCCAAAAAGAGCCCCGAGACGGCCAAAGGCTTCCAAGACGCCCGTAGACGGCCTAAAAGGGCCCCAAGACGACCAATAATCGCCTCAAAAGGGCTCCAAAAGGGCTCCACACGGGCCCCCACGAAGACCCCCAAAAGGCCCAAGAGACGCTCAATAACTAACACCATGGCTCCCATCAGCGAGCGGGGACGTAACAAGCTCCTGACACCAAGGCTCCCCAGAGCGCGGTGACGTACAAAGCTCTTCACACCAAGGCTCCCAAGAGCGAGCGGCAACGTAAAAGTCTATGAACACCAGGGCTCCCAACGCGGACGGCGACGTAACAAGCTCTCCACACCAAGGCTTCCAAGAGCGAAGGGTGCCATGAGCCCTCTCGGGCGAGTTCCTGAGGCGCTCTGTCCGTTTCCGTGCCGGCCCAAATGACGGAAAGAGCGAGGCACGAGTGATGTACGTTATTTGGTGGGGCGAAGGAGGGGTTCCAGGGGAGGGGCGAGGCGCGCGGGGAAAGGATGTAATGGCGAGCTTTCCTCGTATTTGTTAGAGTGAAGCGGCTCCCGGGCGACTCCCATGGCCAGTTTCCTTGTATTTTTCCAGCGAAGCGGTTGAAGGGCCCCAAGACGGCCCAAGAGGTCCCCAATACGGCCCAAGAGGGCACCAAGACGGCCCCAAGAGAGCTTCAAGTGGCCTCCAGAGGCCCTCCAGAGGGCCTCCGAGAGGGCTTGAGGAGGCCAAAAATATTGATGTTCCATTTGTGTTTGCAGGTTTGGGGGGCTCTTGCTTTTTGGGGCCAAGAACGGCTCAAAACGGGCCAAGCGGCCCCAAAGATCGTCCGAGGACGGCCCAAGAGGCGCCCGAACGGGCCCGAAATCGGTCCAGGAGGGCTCCAAGATTGCCCCAAGAGGGCCCCAATACGGCCCCAAGAGGCTCCGAAGACGGGTCCAAAGAGGCTCCCAAGAGAGGCCCAGGGCCCCAAGAGGCCCCCAAGAGAGCACCAAGACGGCCAAAGGCTTCCAAGACGCCCCAGGACGGCACAAAAACCGGCCCAAAGTTGCTCCCAAAGGGCTTCCAAAGGCTTCCAAAAGGACACCCAAGAGCGAGCGGCAACGTACAAGTCTCTGAACACCAGGGCTCCCAACAGAGAGCGATGACGCAACAAGCTCTTAACGCCAAGGCTCCCAAGAGCGCAGGGTGCCACGAGCCATCTTGGACGAGTTCCTGACGGAAAGAGCGAGGTACGAGTGATGTACGTTATTTAGTGGGGCGAAGCCCTCTAGGGAGGGGTCCAGGGGAGGCGCGCACGTTTGGTTGGTAATGGCCGCCCAGGGACCGTTTCCCTTGTAATTGTTCAAGTGAAGCGGCTCGCGGGCGCCTTCCACGGCGCGTATCCTCGCATTCTTTCTAGTGAAGCGGCTGAAGGGCCCCAAGACGGCCCCAGAACGACCCAAAGACGGCCCCAAGAGAGCTTTGGACGGCCTCCAGACGGTCCAAGAGACGGCTCCAGAGTCCCTCCGGAGGGCCCTCGAGAGGGCCTCGGGAGCCCCAAAACATGAATTCCCCTTAGGTATTTGAAGATTTTTCGGGTTCTCGCCTTTTCGGGCCCAGACGGGCCCAAGACAGGCCATGAGGTTTCAAAGATCGTCCCAAGACGGCCCCAGAGGCCACCCAAAGGAGTGGAAATCGGTCCAAGAGGTCCCCCAGACGTCCCAAGAGGGCCCCAAAACGGTCCAAGAGGGCCCCAAGACGGCCCAAGAGGGCCCCACGACGGCCCCAAGAGAGCCCAAAGAATGCCCAAAGAGGCCCCCAAGAGGGCCCCAAGAGGGCCCCAAGAGAGCCCCAAGACGGCCAAAGGCTTCCAAGACGCCCCTAGAAGGCTCAAAAGGGCCCCAAGACGACCCAGAATTGCCCCGAAAGAGCTCCCGAAGGGCTTCAAAATGGCCCCAAGGGGACCCCAACGAGGCCCAAGAGAGGCTCAAGAACATCGTGGCTCCCATCAGCGAGCGGTGACGTAACAAGCTCTTGACACCAAGACTCCCCAGAGCGCGGTGACGTACAAAGCTCTTCACACCAAGGCTCCCAAGAGCGCAGGGTGCCACGAGCCCTCTCGGGCCAGTTCCCGAGGCGCTCTTTCTGTTTCCGTGCGGGCCCAGGTAACGGAAAGAGCGAGGTACGAGTGATGACGTTCTGGTGTGGGCGAAGCCCTAAAGGGAGGGGTTCCAGGGGAGGGGGGTAGCGTGCCCATTTGGGCTCGAATGGCAGTTTTCGGGTTTTCCCTTGGGTTTTTGCATGTTTTTCGGGTTCCCCCCAAAGACGGCCCAAGAGCGCACCAAGATAGCCCAAGACCGCCCAAGACGGCCCAAGAGGCCCCCAAGAGGCCCCCAAGAGGTGCCCAAGGGGCGTCCCAAGAGGGCCCCAAGAGGCCGAAATCATCGATTCTCCAGAGGAAAACGTATATGTTTAGCATATGTTCTTTGTCGGCTTTCACGGCGTTGACGACGGCCCAAGAGGCCCCCAAGACCGCCCCAAGACGGCCCAAGAGGCTCCCAAGAGGCTCCAAAAACGGCCCAAGAGGGCCCTAAGACGGCCCACGAGGAGCTCAAGAAGGCCCAAGAGGGTGCCAAGATGGCCCCAAGAGGGGGACCACGAACCGAAAAGTCTAGCCTTTCGCCCCAAGACGCTCCCAGGAGGCCCCCACAGCCCCCCAAGAAGCCCCAAGAGGCCCCCAAGAGGCGTCCCACGAGGCCATCAGGAGGCCAAAATCATAGATGTTCGATGGGGAAACTTACATTTTTAGCATGCACGGGTTTTCGGCTTTCACGGCGTTGACGACGGCCCAAGAGGCCCCCTAGACCGCCCTAAGACGGCCCAAGAGGTTCCCCAGAGGCCCCCCAAACGGCCCAAGAGGGCGCCAAGACGGCCCAAGACAGCCCACGAGGGCCCCAAGACGGCCCCAAGAGGGGGACCACGAACCCGAAAGTCTGGCCTTTCGCCCCAAGGCGCTCCCAGCAGGCCCCCACAGCCCCCCAAGAAGCCCCAAGAGGCCCCCAAGAGGCCACCAGGAGGGCCCGAAAAGGGCTCCAATAGGACTCCCACGAAGGCCCAGAGACGCCAAGAGCGATCGGTAATGCAAAAAGCTCTTCACACCAAGGCTCCCAAGAGCGAACGGTGACGTAAACAAGCTGATAAGACCAAGGCTCCCAGCAAAGAGCGGTGACGTAACAAGTTCCTGACACCAAGGCCCAGCCAAGGCTCAGGAACGGGCGGCAACGCAACAATCTCTGAACCCCAAGGCTCCCAAGAGCGAGGGGTGACGTAACCAGCTCTCAACGCCAAGGCTCCCGGTACGAACGGTGGTGTGAGTCATTTCGGTTTCTGTTGCTGCAGCGCTCTTTCCGTTTTTGTGCCGGGCCAGGTCTACTGGGCGCTTCGTCCTACTGTCGCCTCCCACTTCCTTCCTCGACCTGGACGGCACAGTGCAACCCGGCAAGGTCGCGTACCACAGGTCGCGTCCCATCACCAGGCAGGTCGCGTACCACAGGTCGCGTACCATGAGAGGTGAAGGTCGCGTACCACAGGTCGCGTACCATCTCCAGGCAGGTCGCGTACCACAGGTCGCGACCTGCGGGGCGGCTGCGGGGCATGTGGGGGGTCTCTTGGCGGGCCCTGGGCTGTCTTGGAGCGTCTTCGGTGCCGCGGGGATTCTCTTGAGGTTTCTCGGGGGTTCTCTCTTGGGGGTCTGTTGGAGGCATCTTGGGCGCTTTTTAGAGGGTTTATTAATCAACTGAGCTCCCGAGCGTGCCGTTCTTTTGGCCGGATGGTAACCAATCCGCGTAACGGTCTGGACGGAGGGGCAAACATTGAGTGAACAGCCCGGCTCTCGTTTGATGTCTATTGCTACATGTGAATAACTGCCCGAATTCCCCCCCTCAGTTTTAACCCAGATTCTGTGTGGCATGGCTTCTAAGTTAGAGCCCTTCGAAAAGCCGACGGGTTGGCATCCCCCAAGACGGGGGAGCCGGCTGTCGCGGACCGCTGGCGGTCCGTAGTCGGGTCGCGGTGTAAAGATAAGTGCGCTTCGTGCCCGTTTTTCGGGCTCCGGGGCTAAGCCTTGCTGAGCCGTGTCGAACGCCATTTCTTTCAATATTAGATACAGTCAAGATGGCCAAACGGTCCATGGTCCGTTCGGCGCTTGCCAGCTTGTCGAAACCCGATAGGCTGGCATGTCAGACATGATGCAAGATACAGTTCGGCAAATTCTCTTGGTCGGGTGCCTGCGCCTCACGGCCGGCACCTTCCAAGATCTTGATGAGTGCCTGTCCCTCACGGTTGGCACCTTCAGGGCACCTTCGTAGAGTGCCTGCGCCTCCTGGCCGGCACCCTCGTTGGTTGTTTCTGCTGCAAGGGCATGCGGGCCGTAAACGCTATGGCTCAAGTTTCCATCGACTGAGCCGTTGCCGAGCACAAGACAAGAAGAAATTACCGCTACACCCGATCACCTCGTGCATCGCTCTTGCACCGACATGGGCGGCAATTCGAAGCAGCGCAAGGCTGAGC